TAATGAGAACTTATATCATTTGGACTAGGCATGGAGAAGTACTAGAATAATTAGCTTAAGTTTATGTTTAAGTTTTGATAGTTTAAGTTTTGGATTGTTTAATCACTTGAGATGCATATAGTATAATATTTTTTTATGTGCTGGGATCATTTTTTACTTTTTAGGTGTGGTTTTATTGTAAAAACAAAATAATTTTTTAAAAAGTAATACAACTTGGACGTCAGTTAGTGCATTGTCCGACATCTACTGACGTCTACTAGTGCACATCCGACGTCTATTTCGTTCTAGTGGTTACCCCTGAATTTTCTTAGTCAGCGAGTAAGAGTCACGCTCATCACCGCGCTTGACATCCGTTACAGACATGTTCGACGTCAATTTGTGACGTCCACCACGTGTGAGCCGACGTCACTTGACATCTAGTAGGCCATTCATCGTTCAACTAACGTCTCCCAATATGACGTCGGGGCGAAGACAGAGGTTAAATGCCCAAAATAACAGACGTTAAAAGTCTTTTTTTGCAGTAGTGACGTTACTAGCAAAGAAAAAACCAAAAGAAGCAAAAAAAACAAGAAATTGAGATTTTTGCACAGTTTGGTCAAAGGTTCGAAACCCACGAGAAAGATGAAACCAGATTGGGGATTTCATCAAAATCAATTGAAAGAAAAAACCCTGAACTTTACAATTAGGATTCTCAATTAAATTTAAGGAAAAACCAAATGGGGTTCATGCAATTAGGACCAAAACTTAATCATAAATCTAACATGTTAGGATACCAATTGTTAGAGTTATGAACCATAAAAGATCAATAATTAAGAATAATCAAACTTTATCATACAATAAACTATTTCTAATTATATTAAGAGCAATATGGACAAACGTACTTGGATTGACTATTGAAAAGAACTTAGATGGAAGAATGATATATGCTATAAAACATCTTAGTTTTCCTTTATTTTCTCAGTTGATGGGAATGAAGAGAAAGAAACATGAATATGTGTATGTGCTCACAAATGGAGATTATAATTTCTTTACGGAACTTTTGCCGGTTAGTTTTTCTAAAAACTATTATTTCTAATTTAACTCTTTATCAAATTAGAATATTGAATATGATATTTACAAAGTTAATATTTCATGACATGTATGTTCTTAACTATCAATATAATTAATTAAATCTATTTAATACTTTGATTAATAATATGATGATCCTAACACATTTAATTATTTATTATATACATATTACCTAAATTATTAACACCTAAAAGTAAATATAAACTAAAAGAAGAATAATAACATTTGGAGAATGAGATGTCACATTTTTATAATATTCCTGTGTATTTTTTTTAATCCAAATTTCTTTCTTGTAAAAGAAAAGTTTGATTACACGAATAAAATGCTTTGAAATTTTTTATTGTTTTTAAAAGATTAAATAAAGAAGAGTGGAATATCAGATAAAAAGTAAGAAGAGAGTGAAATATTATCCGTTGAATAATAATTATATATTTGAGAAAAATATAGAATATGTGCAGGAGTAACGAACACTCAATTACGAGCATAGTGGTTTATTATAAGAAAACAATAAAATAAGATGGTATGTTGGTTACGTTTGGTACAAAGAGATTGGTCAGCAGTAATGATTATTGGTTTGTGTTTATAAAACTATCAAAATGATTGGACGGTGAGCGAACTTGGTGCTGCAACTACATCCACTGCCACTGTGGCTGCCCAATCATGTTGTCCGAAAGTGGAGCACCGCCCTCTATCATTCCCTGTTTCTATGCGTTAACATATTCCACTGTTGCTATTTTCCATCCAATGCACTTCAAGTTTAAATGTTCCAATTTATTAATGTTCCAAAAATAATGTTTAAAATTTCATTATCTGAACTTTCTGCCTCGCCCATAGCAGTGGCTGAAAAGAGAAAAAGGAAAGATGTGGTGCTGATCTTTAGGGACTTGTGGCTTCAATTTTTGCATGTTTTATGGTCCTTGTGGCTCTCCATTGTATCATCACGAGTCTCACGGATCAGTAACTTCCACATAACTTACAACGATAAAGGTAACTTAAAGTGTGATGGGTAGGTGCTCTTCATCTATCATTTTCATGATATCATAACAGTACTTTGTTTATATTGTGATTTAAAGTTAAGCAGAACATATAAATTTTTTAATGATTTATATTTTTTATAGACTGTTTACGTAGGGTCCAGGGATGGTGGTTCTCTCTTGAACTACTCCGTATCATAATTGTCCATGTCTCTTCATCAGTTTTCTTCGAATCGATCGATGATCAACTTGTAAAACACATTTTTACGTTCAAATAAGATATATTTATCAAGAAGTCTTAATAAATTGAATTATGTTAAAAATATCTTTATATCGATATCAAACTGTTTTTACAGAGTTACAATAATCAAATCTATTAATTGATTATTATTAATTATTAATATACTGGTTAACCATTCATTAATAATCATTACATTATTAATTAGTCTTAAACTATTTTTAATGATTGTTTTTATCGGCCACGTCCAATCAGTTGGTAATTTGTGGAATCTTATTCTCGACACACCATGTAGTATATAGATAGTATGATTATTGAGATAGAAAGTACTATAAAACTAACTTTAACTTTTTCATGTAAATAGATTATTAGCTTTTAAAAAATATTTTTTCATACTTTCGAGATTATAATTTGTTTAATTTATCTATTATTACAAATCGATATCTCTTATTAGCTATAAAAGGTTTAGGATGTGTTCACTTGAGTAGAAATAACTGTTCACGCGTGTTTAAGGACGATGAAATGCGAAAAATGAATTGCGCGGATTTGCGGGATAGGGGAATTTTTCATCACCCGCTGGAGTGCAAAGATTTAAAGGGATTTACCATCTAATGCTAATTTACCCACATTGTATAATTCCAACTCCTAAAGCTGACATAATAATCGATTTTAAGATGATGGTTGAAGATGAAGACGAGTTCAAAGCTAAAGAAGAGGAAGAACAGTGGAGGTGTATTCAGTTACCTTCCACCCGTATTCGGTTCCAGGAATGTGAATAATTTTTTAAGAACCCATATTCGGTTCGAGTGGGTGATATTCGGTTCACATACTTCTCAACGAGCTTTGTATTCGATTGCATACGCGACCTGGAGCAAAGACGAAGGAGAAAAGTGGTTCCCCTACAAGCAGTCCAAAACAGAAAGAGAAAAGAGAAGGGTATCTCGCTTTCTACCCTGCGACCTCCCTAGAATGGAGAAGGAGAGAAATAGCTCATCGGTGACGCGACAAAAAGACCCCAACACTGGGTTTGTCCATGAAGGAAAAGAGATTGCACGAACCAAAAAGAAAGGGAAAGAATTTTCCCCGTGTGTGCTGCAAGACTCCCATTACTGGAGTTCTTAGTTGGAGAAGAAGAAAGGTGCTACCCTAGCTACCTTTTCGTGTGAGACAAAGAGAAAGGGAGTGAAGAAGCTTCACCAAGCAGCCCAAAGCTGGCCTGCGAGAGGATAAAGGCCCAAACAAAAATTGGAAAAAATATTGGCTCAGGAGAAAGGCCTAAACACACCCTTTTCTTTTCAGAGTTAAACAAAAACTCAACAAGTGCTTTAACATCATTGAATAGCATTGCCTGTGCAGTCTCTTTTTCCAAAAGACATGTGGAAGAAAGAAGAAGCTTTCTTTATGTTTTCTTTTTAATCTTTCTTTTATTCTTCAATATTAATGCAGTATTATTATTCTTCTATTATAATGGATCATTATAATGATGTATTAAATTGCCTCTTAAATTTAAATTCTAATACATAAATATTTAACACCATTTAATATTATCTTAAAAACTAATTAAGATTCTGCCTTAGAAACCTTCTAATTTAATCTTTAAATAAATAAAAAACAATTTGATAATATTAAATAGGCTCTTAAATTTAAATTTTAATTATTAAATAATTAATGTTAATTTTTTATTCTTTATAAACATTTTTACAATTAAATATAACATGAACAATTATCATTTTATATTACTTTAATAACTAGGGACATTTTGGTAATCTTCAATTTCTATCCATTAAACAATTTTTTTATTTGTCACATCAATCAAATCCTAGACTACTTCTCACAAATTTTACCTCTAAATTCAGTCTCAATTACCTCTAAATCCACTAAAGTAAACACAAAAAAATATATACTCAAATCTCCTTAAATTCATTCAATCACTCTCCTCCAAATCATCTCCCCCTGTCACCCTCAAGTTGAACGTAGCATTAAGGTTCTAAATCTTATTTGTCCCAAACTCCGAATAAAGATCTTTTATTTTAAGTACTTGATTGTGATTGAGAAATATCCTTTATAATCTCAAATTTCTTGATATGACAGTATAGCTTCTCAGCCTTAAGTCGATTTCGGTAAAGGTTGTTGTTTGGAAGCTTATTCGCCTTATTGTTACACGATTCATAGTACCCAAATTGATTCCTAAACATTTTACCAATTAAGACGGTACGATGTTTTCTATAGAGTGATATTGAAATCCCAAATATATTAATATTATCGAAGATATAATTTTCTTTAACCGTTCAATTTATGAGATATGAAATTACCTAAAATTCTTAACAATAACTTTATCTTTTATCTTGTGATAACTTAGTGAAACAGTCGATTTTATTTGTATTACAATCATTTAACTTATGAAATTTAATTATTCTTTTCAATAATTTTATTACAATAAATTAAAACCAGATGTCTAGAATGTTTTTCTCCTTTCATTATATTTCTCTTTCACTTCTCTTAAATAAACTATTTGTTTCACCAGCTTTCTTAAATATGCTTTTCCTTTTCTTTATTTAACTCAAGCTAGTGGATTAGGATTGATTCACAAGATTTATTTAATCTTAGTTTAATTAAATTTTTAAAAGTTTAAGGATTAATCTCTTTAATTTTCCAAAAAAATATACCAAACAAATTCGGAAGAAAATAGCATAGTTACGTGAAAAAAAGAAAACAAAAAATGGACAAAGAAGATTTGAGGTTTGCTAAGAAAGTTACAAATAACTCCTGTTATTTTCCAAAGAGAATACAGCAAAAGATAGTTACGAGTTCTCAACTGGAGATGACAAAGTCTTAATTCTGTAGAGAGAAATACAACAACTGTATGTAGATGATTGCCTCATAGTGAATAATCCCCGAAGGTTCTGTGAACTTCGAGATACATCTAACGTATAAGTGACCAAAGAGGTTCTGTCTTCAAGTTGAAATTAGTGGTTGAATTTTCCGCCCAAAACCGTAGCTCGCAGGTCAGCAACATCAATCTCGTTGGTGTTCTCTGGTCTGTAGTAACCGGTCACAGGGTCTGGGACCCACGAAACCTTTTCAGCACCTCTCACCTTCTCTTCCCCTGATTTTGGAACCATATTGCCGCTGATGGAGGCACCTCCTCTGCTTGCGCTCTGTGTCGCCGCCGCCGCCGCCGCCGCAAACCCACGCCTGTTCCCACAAAAAAGCCATATCAACGTTAATCACCGCTTTACCAATTCTTTATCCCTCATTTCACCACCCGTTACAGCAAGATTCCCCCTTTCGTAATAAAGGCAACAAGGGAGAAGAAAAAAATTCTCTCCCTCCACAAATAAAGCCAAGAACTGCGGCTTTTGAAATATAGCAGAAGTTATTGAAAAGAAAAAAAAGAAAGAGAAACAATTGGTGTACCTGGTTGGAGTGTTGGAGAATCCGTCGGCGACAAGAGCAGAGAGAACCTTAACGTTAGTGAAAGAGCGAGCCATGGGTGATTGAGTGGACGAAAGGGTGTTCAACTGCGGAAAGCTTGTTCCTCGGATGCGAATGAAGAAATGAAAACAAGCTCTCCACAGAAGACAAGAGAATCCTCTGTGGTCTAGAAAGTTCCTGAAGGCAAGTTATTTTGTTATGAAGTGGCAGAGAGAAGTGGTCCGGTATATATAGACGAAGAAGGAAAAAGAAATACGAGCCTCCTAAGAAAATTCCTCTCTTTCACACCACACCCGTTCGTTCATTTGTAGAGCCATTTAATTCTATACCCGCCTTTCTTTTTCACCTTCTAATTCATTTTCCTAAAATCAATTATTTCGATATATCGATATGGTATATGTACAATGTACTTGTCCAATCCAACGACAGTCGTGTAAATATACGAAAACAAATCAAAATTATATTTATCTCATCACAATTTCACTGTCAGGAAACTTTAGTTAAATATACCAGTTTAATTAAAATTTTGTAAAAGTTTTAAATTTATTCATTAATATTGTATGCAACTATGATGGGCATGAACTAATAATTATGCGAGGAAAAGTCGGCGTCCGCCAGTGGTAAAATACTTTATGGATCCAGTGTTCTCCACATCATTGATTATAACGACCGTTTCTCGTAATGACATCAGACCATTCACGTGGCAATGTTTGTGGAAATTTTGAAACAGACTGCGGGACATGTTCTGTCCAAATACTCCTAATGTCGTGTTCTTTGTTACTGCATGTATTATAAAAAAGGAAGAGGTATCAAATTTACAAAAATAAAATAAAAGTAAGGATTATGTTTTGAAATATTGATTTTATTGTTGATAATAACATAGCATAGGAGACCCGGCTCAACGCGTAGATCACGAGGCTTAGCGGCGAAGCCTGGAATTGGGCATGTTTTGACTCTTCTTCCATTTGAAGTTTACAACTTTGCCAACTTGTCGGGTCGTGACCTGTTACATCAGCTATTTTTTTACGAAACCTATTATCGTTCATGGAAATCTTCCAATGCCAGATTTGACAAGTTCGTAGCAGGTGAGTTAATGGCTTCGGAATCACTATCACTTATGTTAAGCTGCCTTTACCTATTTTTGTTTTTTAAAATTGTTACTATAGATTACATATGATCGATTGGCCATAATTAGGTGCATAGTCGAATGTATCAAACTACTAAGATATGAAAAAAAACTTCATAATCGATCGGTTATAGTAGTTAAACAAAATTAAAGCACAATTAATATAGTAATGGCTATTGATGAGTGGTTAGTATTAACATTAATGATCATTATGAGATAAATTAATTCGTCAAATTTTTTTAAACTCTATAAATAAAGGTTTAATTTCGAAGTAATGGACACTTTTTCATAATTGAATTACTTTGTTTTTTAAAGGCTTAATACCCTATTTTGTCCCCAGTTTCGCTCGAAAATGTCAAATTAGTCCATCCTTTAAAAAATGCGTCAATTACGTCCTCACTTAATAAAATTTGCATCAATGAAATCCCTTCCGTTAAATCCGTACAAACGGCGTTAATTATTTTTCTCTCTTATTAAGTAACGCCGTTTGTACGGATTTAACGGAAGGGATTTCATTGATGCAAATTTTATTAAGTGAGGACGTAATTGACGCATTTTTTAAAGGATGGACTAATTTGACATTTTCGAGCGAAACTGGGGACAAAATAGGGTATTAAAACTTTTTTAAAATTGTTACTATAGGATTACATATGACCGATAGGCCATAATTGGGTGCATAGTCGAATGTATCGAACGACTAAGGTATGAAAAAGGATTTCATAGTCGATCAGTTACAGTAGTTGAGCAAAATTAAAGCACAATTAATATGGTAACTGCTATTGATGAGTGGTTAATATTGACATTAATGATCATTATGAGATAAATTAATTGGTCAAATTCTTTTAAACTCTATAAATAAAGGTTTAATTTCGAGGTAATTGACACTTTTTCATAATTGAATTACTTTAGACTTCCAGAGAAAAATTTTGACTTGAGCGTCGAAATGTCTTCTGCAGGTCAATCCCCTCAAATCGATCAGTCACCCAAAGCATAGAGGAAGTAAACGTTCGTCTAAAGTAGGAATGCTACGCAGGAATCATTCTCGTCCCATTTCAGCAGAAACATTTTAACACCCACTGTGGGGCCGAGGATAGCAGAAGAAACTCAATCAAGACCATAAGGATTGCAGGACAACTAGACTCGTTGGCTTTAGTTCAGGAAATGCAAAGGCAAATGTAAGCCATGCAGGCGGAGATTCCGACTTTGCGAGCGAAGCGAGTTGCAGGAAAAATGAGCAGTCGAATCAATAGTCGGCAACACCTACCCATGCTCCTACAGTGGAGGTTGCTCACACAGAGCCCGAGGAAGCTGCACAAGAGGAAAATAGTGTCAAGACCCGTTCGGTTCGCCTGGCTAATGCGGTCGGGGTGTTGAACTTCACCCGTTCACGATGGCTATTATGGAAGAGCCATTGCTGGAGAGGATGCCTCCAGCTCTTGACAAGTATGATGGATTGGGAGATCCGGAGGAGCATTTGAGATCGTTTGTGGACGCCATGGCAATTTATTCGTCCGATGACTTGGTGTGCTGTAGGATATTTTCCCTATCCTTAAAGGAGAAGCTCTAGCATGGTTTAATTCCCTTCGCCCTTGAACTGCAGACAATTTTGGTACCCTGCGCAACAGTTTTCCTCCAGCCAGGCGCAAAACCTTACCTTTATTGAACTGACAAAAATCAGGCAAAGAAAAGATGAAGGCTTGAGGGATTTTATGGACTGGTACAATCGAACTGCACGACAAGTAAAGGACGTGGGCAAAAAGTTCATCATGAGCACTTTGGCCACAACCTTAAGGCCTTGTTCCTTCGCGGATAGCTTGTTCACGCGACCACCTTGAACCTTGGAAGAGATGCAGGAGAGGGTCGTTGAGTTCATCCGAATTGAGGAGATGCGTGTTGTCCAAAAAAGGCAGCATGGGGAAAATGCTTCGTCCTCAGGTCAAGAGCAAAAGGAAGGCAAGAAGTCATTCGTTCCTGACGAACGACCTAAGGGTAACAAGTATAGAGATGGTCCAAAAGGATCTAGATTTAATGAGTACACCCATCTGAACGCCCTAAGGGAAAAAGTTTTGGAGGAATCTTCTAGCGCTGATCTCCTCCCCCCTTTGAAGAAAAAACCAATGCCCAAGAATGTTAATGATAGTAAGCATTGCATCTATCATCAAAATATGGGGCATACCACCGAAGAGTGCACCACGCTCTAGGATAAGATTGAGGAGTTGTTAAGAGCAGGACCGCTGCAGCAGAAGTCAAAGTTAAGATCGACAACTGCGAGGACACATTAACACCATCTTTGGAGGCTTTGCTGGAGGAGGGTCGATAGCTTTGGCGAGAAAGAGGCATTTGAGAGAGTTGAAGAGGCTGCACAGGGTGGATGTGAAGAAACGCTAAATGCCACTAATCATATTTTCTAACGAGGATTTTCGTGCTCCCGACTCTGAGCAGGATGATCCTATGGAGATAACCGCTGTTATCGCTCGGTACAGCGCTGGCAAAGTCTTGATCGACCAAGGGAGTTCGGTCAACATCCTTTACTGGAAGACGTTCCAGCAAATGGATCTGTCGGAAGACTTGATTCTACCCTACAACGAGCAGATTGTAGGGTTTGCAGAAGAACGAGTGGATACGTGGATTTGAAAACCTGTCTCGATACTGAATGGGATGCTAAAGAGCTGAAGACCAGGTTTCTGCTGGTAGATGCTAGCACCACGTACAATGTGCTTATAGGCAGACCTTGCCTAAATACCTTTTGGGGAAATAGTTTCAACGCCTCATTTAACCCTTAAGTTTCCATTAGACAAGGGAAGCATTTTCACTATTTGGATAGACCAAAAAGTTGCCCGAGAATGTTATGTTGTGGGATTGAAGGTTGAACCCTCTACTTCGCAACGGAAAATCAAGCAGTTAAAAGTAGCAATGGTAGATTTAGATCCCAAAACCAACACAGATGACCGAATGGAACCACTAGGAGAGACAAAACCGTTTGGCCTTGGACGCTCGGAAGAACAAGTTACTTCCATTGGAAGTGAATTGGTCAGGCCAAACTCATCGACAAAGAGCTAATGTGCAACAATGATATGTTCGCTTGGACCACAACTGACATGTCGGGGATACACCCAAGGGTCATGTCACACAAATTGGCCTGTTTAAGGAAGCCCGCCCAATGGCACAAAAGAAGAGGAGGCTCAGAGCGGAAAAAAGGTTAGCACTAAAAGCCGAGGTGAAGAAACTCTTGGAGGCCAATTTCATTTGTGAAGTCAAGTACACTACCTGGTTGGCAAACATTGTGATGGTGAAAAAGTCTAGCAGACAGTGGAGGATGTGTACAGACTTGAACAAATCTTGCCCTAAAGATGCCTACCCTCTTCTTAGCATTGATGCTTTCGTAGATGGGGCTTCGAGATTTCAAGTTTTGAGCTTTCTAGACGCTTATTCGGGGTACAACCAAATCCCCATGTTCCCTTGATAATGAGAAGACAACTTTTGTCACGAGCAGTCAAATTACTACTATGAGATAATTCGTTCCGACTAAAGAATGTGGGGTCTACTTATTAGCGTTTGATGGACAAGGTGTTTCATCATCAGATTGGGAGGTGCATGGAGGTTTATGTGGATAATATGGTTGTACGGAGCAGATCAATAGAGGATCATGTGAAGGATCTTGTTGAGGTGTTCGACCAGGTGCGCAAGTACGAAATGCGGTTGAACCCAGCTAAGTGTAACTTCGGGGTACCTGTAGGGAAATTTTTAGGCTTTATGCTGACGGCCAGAGGGATAAAGGCGAATCCAGACAAATGTAAGGTGGTGTTAGAAATGAGAAGCCTCTAAAACCTTAAGGAGATACAATGCTTAGTAGGGAGACTGACTTCGTTATCCCGTTTTATCCCAAGATTGGTCGAGCGTATCAAGCCTATTGTGAAGGTGATGAAGAAGAGTGTCGAGACCAGCTGAGACGAACAGTGTGAGGAGGCCTTTAACATGGTAAAGGGCATTCTAGCTAGCCCGCCTGTAATGGGCCGACCTGATCCAAAGCATGATTTATAGTTGTTTCTAGCATTGTCAGAGGAAACGATCAGTCCAACTCTAGTGCA